CCCTTCCAGAGGCCTCAGGTTCAATTCCCAGCATCCACATGGCAGCTCATAGCTGTCTATAACTCCTGTTCCAGGGGATCTGACACCCTCACACAGACATATACCCAGGTGAAACATCAATGTAAATAAAATACAAATAAATTTTTAAAAAGTGTGTGCCACCACATCGTCCAGATTCACTTTTTTAAATATTTCTTTTTAGTTTTAGTTATGTGTCTGTCTCTGTATATGTACGCACAACTGCACACATCTGAGTGCAGTGCTCCTAGAGTCCCTCGGAGGGCATCAGATGCCCCTGGAGTTGGAGACACAAGCGGTTGTGAGCTGCTGGACAGCAGTGCTGAAAACCACATTTCAGCAGAAGTACTTAGCTGCTGAACCACCGCTCCAGCTCCCTCATTTTACAAAGGATAAAACTCTTAACCTTTAACCCGTATGTCAGCTTTTCTGATCTTGAATTGCTAACTTCCTGTACAAACACTTGCCATATACTATCCATATGCCATCTGTACTAATATTTTCAAATAAAAATTTCAATTATTTATTTTATGTGTATGAGTGTTTTGTTTGCATGTATGTCTATGCACCATGGGCATGCTTGGTGCCTATGAAGGCCAAAAGAGGGCATCAGATGCCCTGGAACAATAGTTACAGACAGCTGTTAGCCACTATGTGGGTGTTGGGAATTGAACCCAGGTAGTAAGTGCTCTTGGCCACTAAGCCATTTCTAGCCTGCAAATAATTTCTTTAAATCAGCTTGCTGCTTTTACTCTGTTTAGTAAGGAAGGTCGTGTGAATGTATTTGTATAATTATTTATTATTAAAATCATCTCCCCATGAAGTGTATATACTTGGCTGTGGAAACACCTGCTAAATTATTCCTAAAAACATTTTCCACCACCTGCCTTCCAATTCCTCCAACATGAACAGTGAGCTCTATACAGAGCTGGTTTGCCATACATGATCCAACACATTCAATAGTGCCTGCTGTGGCGGCACATGCCTTTAATCCCAGCTCTCAGGAGGCAGGGGCAGTCCGATCTCTGAGTTGGAGGCCAGCTTGGTCTACAAAGCAAGTTCCAGGGCATTCAGGGTTACATAATAGAGACCCTGTCTCAGAAACAAAGAACATTCAACATCTAGTGGAGCCAGGCGCGGTGTGGGAAGAGGCAGGAGGATCCTACTTGCAAACAAACAAGCAAACAGCCAGCCAGACAAGGTGACTCACATTTGTAATCTCAGTACTTGGCGGCAGGTAAAGCATCACTGCATGTTCAAGGCCAGGCTGGCTTAAGGGTGAGATCCTGCCTCAAAAATCAAGCAAAAACTGTAACCAGCAGCCCGTCCCTGTGCTGAGGATGAAGGTCAGCGATGCTCATGAATTCTGCACTAGTCTAATACTGTCTTCCGGGACACGGCCGACAGCGCACTACAGTCTTTGTACCCTGTGCTAATGCCTGACCAGAGGTAAAAGCAAGTTTGTTGATGGAATGGGAGAAGGGACATTAGAAAGGCTCTACAGCCAGCAGTTAAAACACTCACACTGCCTTAACACCCGTCTCCCTGCTCCGAATCACTCCCCCTTTCCAGCACTGCTTTGGATATACAAGTTTCAGACGCCCCTGGCTCACACCCAGTGAAACTTTAGGGAGAGAATGCTCTGGCTTGCGACTTTCTTCTTCCAGGTCACCATTACTGCAGTCCTGACACTGTCGTTGTCCCCTTTGACATCTCAATCATGTTCAATTCAGGCAAGTCGGTCTTCAAAGAGCAGAGGCGGCTGACTGGGAGGTAGGGACAGGAGGGTGTGTACATATGTGTGCATGTTCACGAGTGTGCATGTATTTGGAGGTATCTTCCTCTGTTACTCCCCACCTTACCCTGACTGGTCTGCAGCAACTTCTTTCCTAAACCAGGCTGCCTCAAACGCCTCTGGAGTGCTGAGATTAAAGGTATGGCTCACTATGCCGCACCTCTCTACTTTATTTTCTGAAGTGGAGAGCTCTGGGGATCCATCTGTCTCTGCCCACCCAGCACTGGGTTACAGAAGCACACACCAGTGCCCAGGCTTTACACAGAGCTGGGCACCTGAATTCAGTTCCCTATACTTGTGTGGCAAACACTTTATAGACTGAACCACTTCCTTAGCCCCTATGTATGTTGTTTAAACCACAGAATTTGGGGCTGGAGAGATGGCTCAGAAGTTAAGAATACTTGCTGCTCTTCCAGAGGACCTGTCTTTAGTCCCCAGTATACACACTGAGTAGTTCTCAGCTGACTGTTTAACTACAAGTCCACAGGACCCCACATTGTCTTCTGGCCTCTACACATACACATAAATATAAATAAAAATTAGTTTCTAGGGACTGGAGAGATGGCTCAGTGGTTAATAGCACTGACTGTTCTTCCAGAGGACCCTGGTTCAATTCCCAGCATCCACACAGCAGCTAACAACTGTCTGTAACTCCAAGACAGACACATGTAGGCAAAGCATCAATGTAAATAAAATAAATAAATTATAAAAAATTAGTTTTTAAAGATTTAAGATTAAGAGCCGAGCGTTGGTGGCTCATGCCTTTAATCTCAGTACTCAGGAGGCAGATCAGATTAATCTGGGCTTCTCTGTGTAGCCCTGGCTGTCCTGGAACTCCTTCTGTAGACCAGGCTGTCCACAAACTCAATAGAGATCCACCTGCCTCTGCCTCTCCAGTGCTGGGATTAAAGGTATGAGTCATCATGCCTGATTTTTCTTTGAATAACTTTTTTTTTTCTTTTTTCTTTTCAAGACAGGGTTTCTCTGTGGCTTTGCACTGGCTCTTGTAGACCAGGCTGGTCTCAAGCTCACAGAGATCTGCCTGCCTCTGCCTCCCAAGTTGAATAACCCTTTTTTTGTTTGTTTGTTTTTGTTTTTTTCGAGACAGGGTTTCTCTGTGTAGCTTTGGAGCATATCCTGGCACTCACTCTGGAGACCAGGCTGGCCTCGAACTCACAGAGATCTACCTGCCTCTGCCTCCCGAGGCAGGGATTAAAGGCATGCGCCACCAATGCCCGGCCGAATAACTCTTTTATACTTTATTTATTTTGGTTTTTAGAGAAGGGTTTCACCCTGTAGTCCAGGCTGGTTTAGAGTTCACTATGTATTGTAGGCTGGCTCATATGATCTTGCCTTGTCCTCTTGAGTGCTGGGATTATAGGCAAGAGCTACTTGACACCCACCTTCTGAATATCTTTTTGAAGGCAATTACCACACAGCCATGGATTCCAGATCCCACAATATGAAACTGTTCAAGTATCTTATATAACACAGCACAGTGTTTGCAAATAGCCTAGTCATCTCCAGATTATATATCTAACATGATGTAAATCCTATGTAAATAGTTTTATTGCACTGGGTAGGGAAATAATGACAAGGCAAAAAAATCCCAGCACTTGGGAGACTGAGATAGGAAAATTGCCATGAGTTTGAGGCTACTTAGGCTATCTAGAGAGTGCTTGTGTCCAAAAACAGAACAAAACAAAACAAAAAAGTGTATTTGTTTGGCAGACTTTTACTTTCTATTTATTTATTTGGATTTTTTTTTTGTTTTGTTTTGTTTTGAGATAGGGTCTCACTATGTGGTCCTCAGCTCCCTGGAACTCACTACTTAGACCAGGGTGGCCTTGTACTCACAGGCAGAGGCCTGCCTCTGCCTCCCCAGTGCTGGGACCTAAAGGCATTCACCACCACACCACATTTACTTATTTAATGTGTGTGTGTGTGTGCCAAGTGTATGTTATGTGCAGCATGTGCTGTGGGAGCCCTTGAAGGCCAGGAGAGGGCACTGGAGCCCTCAGAGCTGGAGTTAAAGGTCCTGGGTGCTGGGGACTGAACCCAAGTCTTCTGCAAGGGCAGTAACTCTTTTTAGTCACTGAGCCATCATCCTAGCCCCCTTTGTTTATTTTAGTATTTTGATCCATACAAGTTGCAAGGCCAAGTCCATCTCGTCTTTACCTCCTTAGGGGCACTAACTCATCTTTATATGTAGCCAGGAATGGCCCTTGACTTCAGGAGAGCCAGAACACAGTCAGGCTCCTTTAGTCTGGAAGTGATGACCAAATAGCTCAATCCTGGTCTCAAATTTTGGTGTTCTTTGATTCTGACTTGGCCTCTATGTTGTAATTAATACTTGAATTGGCTTTCAAATTGATTAGATTTCACAGTAAAATTCTGGCAACAATAGGCCTGTGTGAAAACAAAGGAGTCATTAGCCGAATTGATTAGTTGGGGTTTGCTTCTCATTTTGCCCTGTATTTTTAATACGGATTTGCCTCAGACTCATGATCCTCCTGCCTCAACCTCAAAAGCACTGGGATTATATCCATGCACCTTGTCATTCTGTTCCTCCAAGTGAAACTAAAAGCTAGATTCATAGTATGTGCTTCACTTGAGCATTTGACCTTCCAGCAGCTTTAAGCCCGTAAGGCCAAACGAGTGAATGAACAACGACCCATACATAATTCTGACTCACACCCCTGCAGAGTAAATAAAGCAGGAGTAAAAGGGAAAGCCGGCCTTGGGTCAGAAAGGTGTTTGCAAACGGTTGCATCAGGAGCTCAAGAATCATTTACAAAATGAATCAACGAAAGCACGAACCCACCAACGGATGAGCACATTACTGCTTTGTAAAGGGGAGACAAATGGAGGCAATCACTAAGGCGTTTGGATGCATTCCTCAGTAAGCTTCGAGCTTGGGATAGATGCTCTCAATAAACAAACGCACAAACAAACAAAAAAAAACAACCCCAAAAGTGCAGATACTGAGAATTCCAGAAAAGCTTGTGAATGAGGGAGTGGGAGCCAGTGCACCTGGTGGCCGGGGCCACCAGGTGAGGGCTCCCCGGCTTTCCAGCAGGCGTGCCGTGCCGCAGAGGTCCTGCCGCGTGGCCCTCGGCAGCGTGGCCCCATGCATGCCCTCCTCCTCCAGGAAGCCCTCCTGCCCGCCCTCCTGCCCCGCCCTTACAGGATGTCCTCGCGGAAGGAGGTGCCGTGGTTGAGGTTGTGGAAGCGGACGGAGACGCAGTCCCTGACAATGAAGGAGCACCTGGTCTCCTTTTTGTAGGCGCTGAAACACTCCTTGAAGTCCTCGTAGGTCTTAAAGCAGCTGCCTAGCTCCATGGCCGGGGGCTGGCCCTCACCGAAGCCCAGGGGTCAGAGGTCACTGGGGACCGGCTGGCATGGGCCCAGGACGGGGCCCGACTGGGGGCCTACAGGGAGCTCGGGAGGAGCCGGAGAAGAGACCGGCTTCGGCAACCTGGGGGCGACTTTGCTCTGTGTCAGAAGGGAAATGACACTCTTCCCTTATTATTCAGCCCCAAGGCTCCGCCCCCTCGCCGACTTATCCAATCACACGCGGAACTCCCAAACTGGCACAAATACTCTCCAATCGTAAGGTGGGGGTAGCCCCGCCCACTCTGGAATTGACAGGCACACCAACGAATCATAATCTGCGTCTCGTTCCACGAAGCCCTCGGGATTTCCGGCCCCTGGGGCGACCTGCCGGAAGTGCTGTGCGCCTATATAAGTTTCCGCGTTGCGGGTGAAGGTTAGTGTCTCCCGCGCCGGCAGCGAGAGGCCAGGATGTCAGCGACGGGAGCCCCGGGGGATGCGCAGGGCGACAACGACCGCGATGACCCTTCCGGAGACCTCCGCAGTGTGCTGGTCACCAGCGTGCTCAACCTCGAGCCGCTAGATGAGGATCTCTTCAGGTAGCCGAGAGTCGCGGTCACCGCCGCTTCCCCGCGGCCCCCGTGTCTGGGCTTAGGCGCTGCGGCAGTTAGGAGAAGGCGTGTCCCTGACACCCGCCCTGCTGTCCACAGGGGCAGGGCCACTGGGCCTCAGGGCAGCTTAGCCGGGGAGAATCAACCTAGAGAGGGCAGGGATTTGATTTGCCTGAGGGCACACAGCGGATCGGTTTTTAAAGCCAATACACAAGTCCTGTAAACTCAATGCCTTTCTTTCCCTCCACCCCATCCCTGCACAACTGACTGGGGTCTGGTAGGTCACGACTTATCCTGGGGTATGTTTTCTCCAGCATCACTGAAGTTGGTGATTATAGCACGGGTTTGTAACAGTTTTTTTGTTTTGTTTTGAGACAGGATGTCGCCATATGATCCAGGAATTCACTACCTAGACCAGGTTGGCTTGGAACCCACAGGGATCCACCTGCCTTTGCCTCCTGAGTGCTGGCAGGAGAGTACCACCATGCCTGGTTGGTTAGTGACAGTTTTTTTGTTTTTTTTTTAAGACAAGGTCTCTCCCTCCCTGGCTGTCATGGAACTCTCTGTAGACAAGGTTGGCCTTGAACTCACAGAGACCTGCATGCCTCTTCATCCCAAGTGCTAGGATTAAAGGAATGCCCCATCATACCTGCTTAGTGACAGTTTTGACTCTATAGCTCTCCTATTTTATCAGAAACTATCTTAACTTTGATCTCTCTTCCACCTAGGTAATTATACCTTCCTGGGCCATTTCAAAATGTATTATAATGAAAAATGATAACCTCAGGGCTGGGCGTAGGACTCAGGGGTCAGGCTCCAGCACTGGGTGAGCCCTTTCACCTAGAACACCAGGCCACTTTGTTTATCTGTATTAAATTTCACAACCTCAGATCCTTGGACAGTTAGTTGTTTTTTTGTTTTTTTGTTTGTTTTTTAAGAGTTGGTGGACTGTCTCTGGGCCTTTTTATCTCTGAAGTCAGTTTTTAGAAGAAGTGCCTGTCAGTTAAGGAGTGCCACTGGCAAGCCTTCATCCCTACAGTCCAGTCCCAGATCAGCTTTTGGGTTCCTAGTGTCCATTCAAGGCCTCCAGCAGCTTCTGACCTCTCTCTGCCTTTTCCTGGTTTGTGGCCTTGAAACTGCCTAGGGTTGGTAATGGTGGAGTTGTGTGAACTTGCTCTGTGTACTCCTGCTATAAATGGAGGGAGCTAGCTTGTTAGGCTTGACTGAAGTCCACAGAAGGCTTGAGTAGACATAAAAATGGAAGTTTTATGCAGCGGTGTCAGAGTTTTGAGAGCAGAGTCCCTGGCTTTCCTCAAGTCCTTCCAGAGCGCCCCTCAAGTCTTTCCCACTTTCCTCTCCCCACAGAGGAAGGCATTACTGGGTACCCACCACCCAGCGGCTCTTTGGGGGTCAAATTGTGGGCCAGGCCCTGGTGGCTGCAGCCAAGTCTGTGTGTGAAGACGTCCATGTGCACTCCCTGCACTGCTACTTTGTCCGGGCAGGTAAACCCCACATCCTGGCTTCTTGCTTGCAGCCACCCCTGGTGGCCCAGAAGTCACATCTTCCTGGTTTTGAAGGCTGACGCAAGAGAAGGGGGAAAAAGAAGTGGGAGGGTCAGACAAGAGTATGGAGAAGGGAGAGAGGATTCCCTGAAAGGTCCCTAAGGGGCTGAGGATGTGGCTTAGTAGTGAGCACTTGGCTAGCACATGAAAGGGACTGTATCCCATCTCAAGAACCAGAAGCAGGGAGGGAGCCCATCATGTTGCCTCAGGTCTGTGGTCTCAACCCTTGGGAGGCTGAGATGGGATCTGGAAGCAACACAGATCCTCCTTGAGGCCCACTAAATACTTGTTCTCTGGTTCTTGATGCCACAGACTCAGGTTTATCTGCCTCTGGTGGGCCTTTCTTTGTAGCTTTTTTGTTTATTTTCTGTTGAGATAGGGTCTTATTTTGTGTAGCCCTGGCTGGCCCCAGCCTTCATGACACCAGGCCTGGATTTGTTCTTCATTCATTCCTTTTGTTTTTAATTTGTTTTGTTTTTTGAGACAGAGTTTCACTGTGTATGCCTGGCTGACCTGGGAATCACAAAGATCCATTTGCCTTTGCCTCCCAAGAGCTAGGATTAAAGACATTTGCCCCCATACCCAACCCTCTTTTATTTAAAAAAAAAAAAAAAGTATTTGCTTTTTTAAGAATTTTTTTTTTGTTGTTTTGTTTTTGGTTTTTCGACACAGGGTTTCTCTGTGGCTTTGGAGGCTGTCCTGG